AAATATATCACACCAATATTCCCCTCTTGAAATAAGAATTTTGACTATCTAAATTATAGTCCTAAACCTTATCAAAGGGCACTGTTTTTCTTGGTAGCCCTCGAGGAGACCCCGAACCCTACACCAAGGGACGATGGTCGGCTTCGCATCCGAGGCCCGTTGTTCCGGACCCCTCCTTCAAATAATCCTGGATCCGCCCCTGTTACCCAATGCAATATACACAACCTATTCAATCAAGCACTGACGAATCTGGGATTTTGTTGGGGGGGGGGGGAGGGGGGCAAGAACAGAATTTTTTTTATCTCCGCTACGCTCAAACGATATGGCATTTTTGACGAGGGCAATTTCTTATAATAAGTAGGGCACGAAGAAACTGTTAAGTATTCTGTTTCCTGGAGGGGAGAATGGTTACTACCGCGGCTTAAGGTGGTGTGAGGGTGGCACATGACTCACAGTATACCCCGCCCCCCTCCCCCCTACCCCGCTCCATAGTGTCAGAAACATGGAGAACACGGGCTGCTTGTGTTTTTAAAATCATTTATTTATTTACAGACTAAGCCTTCTTTGATTTTTAATCTCTATAGTGAAATAAAAATCTACATAGTGGAGAACACCACCTGTTTGTTCAGGCCTGTAGTCGAAAGAACCGCACTTTTTGTTGGGAAAAGGTCCACTCTGGGCAAAATTTGATCTAGGTACATGAGAATTTTATGGTAAAAGGTCCGCTTTTTCAGAAAAAGAACCCCATTCTAAAGCTGCTGGCTACGGGCCTATTATTTTGTTTTACAGGGGACTAGACGCTTTGTTTCGTAAAGTATCTAGTAAAAGACACTTTAGTGCACGTTAGTAGATTAGTAATATCAAGGACAGTCGTATTTACATCAGTTTCGATTTAGGCCTGTTTAAATCTTTGAGCCTTTTAACATCCAAACTGGAAATCTTAGCGAGACAGCTGAGTAGATATTATTTGACAGACTGACTTGCCTACTTGTGGAAAACTTGTGAAAGGAATTTGTAAGTTTCCTGTAGCGTTATATCTAAAATACAAGGCTCGATGTAAAAAGCCTTTAAACTTGACCAGTGTGATACATGTAACTCCTGTCTTGGAAACAGATAGGCACATATACGCGATTCTAGACAGTCGGGTCCGTAGCAGGCGATTTCAAAATTTTTACAATGAAACTTTTGTGTACCTTGATCAAAATTTGTTACCCAGGATGGACTTCTTCCCGACAAAAGCCCTCCCCTGGCTACGAACCTGACCTAACCTGTGACGTTATAGAGCACAATGGCTAAAAATTATTGGCGAAAAAAAATCAGCGTTCACTTAACCCTTTTGAAAATATTTAAAGGTAGAGTTTTTTAACGAGCCATGCATTCGTCTTGCGACGTCAATTTTGCTGCTTACACGAAATGGAGAAGTTGGTAACTTGCGAATTTCTTTCTCTTTTGTGTGCCAGCGCTCATTTCAGATTATCAGGTTATATAGTCACAACTAAACAGCTTTTTAACAACTTGTATATACTGCTTAACACTATCACAGCGTTTTACATTTGGAATAAAGCGGACACACTCGTAGTTCCTTTTTACGGTTATTCTTTTGACGACACAGGACCCATTTTCATTTTAATGAAAATTTCCTTGATTTTCCAAATGCATACTTTATTTGATGAGACCAAGCGTAAGTAATAAGTATAAGCATTGCGACTGTCACACAAAGATGTTATTTTTTATATACGGTGAGGATCATTGTGGAATTGAAATTAAGAGGTGTAAAATTTCATTCAGCAGAGTGACCCAGATAGGAATACAATTTTGGGCTCAGGCTTTCCCTTACCGTCTACCAGCTTTCTTCATACTGCGTTTGATCCGTATTTCCTAGATTTTTATTTAAACAAGTTTTCAGACAACAAAAAGCCTAGATATTATGCGAATTTAACTCACATTTTTTTTCGAAGCGCCAGTTGAGTTTGCATTTTGTTAATCATGACCATTTTTATATATGGGATATATTGTCATTGGTAGTGCACACCAGGAGGCAGTCTCGATCTCAATGGAGTGCTTTTTTCATACGAAATCCTCATTGTTAGGTTAACTAGAAAAGTAAATATATTGTTGGCAAGTCAGTTAACATTAAAACCACCAAACAGCTAACAAAGGGGTGTTTATTATATCTTGTTTACCTTTAGAAAATTGTAATCGTGCATTTGCCGCCGTTTTGAAAGTTCACGTTGCGCTTATCGCCTTTTTGATTGATAAAATTGCCAAGAAAAGTAAAAATATGAATTTTACGCAACACCTCAGCCTTTTTTCCAAAACCAAAAATCAATTTTATTACTTGGACATTGCCTGGTTTTATGGAAGAAATCTACATGACGGAAATTGCAAATTTTCAAGTTAAGTGAGATAAGGGAAAATTTAAGAAAATTTAAATTCCGACTGATAAACAAGCCGAGTACACATGCATTCAACGCCATTTAAATTAATTTGAAGTCTGGTGATTGTTTTTCCATCTGTACACGTCTTGCGTTTTTTAACAAAAGAAAAAAATGTAGAATATAATTTTATTCAACTATTATATACAGTAACATTTAATTCCAAAAGTACTCAAGTATTCATTAATGAATCATGAAAACGCAATGAATCAATAAATGGTTGTATTATTGAAAGTTTTAAGATTTCCATTCCCGTCTTTATCATCAAACTTCAGAACGCAAACAGTCCGATAATGCTGGTCTTGTGGTCGGAAGCTGGTACCCGATGCTTGCGGGCCGTGGGGAAAAACCCGTCTAAACCCTTCGTGGGGAATGCCGGGAAAATGCCCACGCCCGGATACTTTAGTCTTTATAACATGATAACTTCAGTTTTTTATTGCTTCGGCGCCTTACAGTTCAAGAATATCGTCCTGTTTTAGACAGCATGGTGCAACTGAATAAACTTCTCTATATACACTATACTGGTACACAAGATGAAGCACAAGAATTTGCCAAAGTAATTCCTACAGAAAGAGCTACTAAAGGCAATTAAGACACATTTACTAGAGTCTTAACACAATTAAACTGACTTATATTAATAAGTCATAAATAAAGAAACTAGATCCTTTTACAACTGAAAGCATCCATCAAAACTTGAATATATTTCTAATGATAAAATATATAAAAAGTTCAGGTAATATGTTTATTACCCAGACACCTCAATGATTTAAACTAAACTTTGACATATAACCGTTTAAAACAGGAGTTTCTCAAATGTAATTTTGCCCTGAAATCGCAACTACCTGTATGATACAAGTAATGAATAAAGCAAGCTTGCTTCGACATATTTCACTGTATGACCGTCCATGTAAATTTCAATATGACTTTTGGGGTCCGGAGAAAAGGGTGCATATGTGATGAACTGGATATATTTGTCAGCTATAACACTTGAGAAAATCATAATATTAGTGATATTAGTAATGTGCGATCCTCTATCTTGAAAGATGCCTGAATGCATCCAGCCATCCCTCACGAGGAGCAGACTGCACAAGACATATAATGAAATATTTTCACAAACGTAAAATATTTCATTATAGATCTTGCACCAGCCGTCAATGTAAAACCTCTTCATGTAACATTTACATGAAGTAAGATTTTACAAAGATGTGAGGGTTAGTTGAGGTTAGTGTGCGGATTATGATTTTCTCAAACGCTATACTGACGAACAACTCCACATCATCAACAGCACAAATTTGAAAATTGACTACATCACTAGGATTGAAATAAAACACAGACGACCATAAGTGGTGGTGTTTTGTGAGCGAAAACCTATCTACATTTGGAATGTGGATAAAGCAACTACATATTCTATTTGAACGTTAAATAATAACTGTAGAGGTTGACAAAATTTTCACACAGAACCACATTTCATCTTATTCAATTGAACATTTATGGAATTAAGAATGAGCATCCTGAACCTCGGTGCTCTCTTAAGTTATTGGAATAAAATGTTCCACAGTCATAACTGAAAAAACTTATTAAATGCAATTACACCCGACTCGTATCTGTGACACGCGAAGCGCATAAATTCTCAATATCCAAAAGACTTGAGTGCATTATTAGGTTGTACCAGTATTCCTCTTACATTCAGTATATCGCTCTTCATTATCATTCCACATTCTCTAATTTTTTTGCAGACAAGCTGTGTCCTTAAAACGAAGACTGCTAGGACGTCCGGTCATCAATGAAAGTGGCTACAGGGGCTCGTTGCTAGCGACATATAGTGTTGCACATTTGCACATTTAGGCGAGGATTGATAGTTTCTGCGTTTTAGCATTATTTCTGGAAAACTGCCCTTTCTTAGCCTACAAATGAAACGTAATTTAAAGCATGAAAAGCAATTGAAAGCTTGCAGTAATTGCAACAAAGAATATGTATTTCACTGGTATTTACACACCGTTAATA